CGGTCATGATACGCAGGATTTGGCGACACGCGTCGTGGCCGCGCTCCAGTGCTTCGAGTACGATTTCGGCGGTGAGGCCGATGATCTTCGTGTCCAGCTGCAAAGCAGTGAAGCCGTTGTTAGTGCTGGCCATCTTAAAGTCCATATCACCGAGGTAGTCTTCTAAGCCCGAGATATCCGTCAATAGCCGAAAATCCTTCACTTGGTTATTAGAGGTATCATCTAAAACGCACATTTTCTTATACTCTTGCAGCATTCATACAAGATTAATAGCTGCTGCCGACCACCTATCTGCCATCGTCAGTTGAAAACACGTGTCGGCCTCAGAACAAAGTCTTTCAAGGACATCAAGGTGGGAAGGTTGAAAAATCTAGCGTGAAGAATAAAAGAGGAACAAGACAGAAAGAACTACGGATATGAATTTGTAACGAAAATTTAACTGCTGTAACTGAAGCAGAACAAGCATCAGAAGTGTGTGTGTGTGTGTGTGTGTAGGTGTGTGGCAGAGGGAAACAGTTTAACTTGGTGACAGGAATCATACGATCAGGTGACTGACAGAATCTACAAACCTCAGCTGAGCATCAGTTCTGCTCAACGAGCATTTTCCGCTAGAAGAAGTTTATGGATTACCAGAAACGATGTACCGAAAGAAAAAAGACAAATAACAACAAAGGGGAGGGAGGCTCGACGATACATCGCAATGAATGCAGCCAATGACGGCAACACGGAAGAATTTAAACGCAGCACTTCTGAGCAAAAGCAATCGGCATTGATCTATCATACCCGAAAAACATAACTGAAACAATTACAGCGCCACAAGACAAACAGGATTCAAAAAACTATTTACAAGAAAGTCTGTTCAAGTCACCTGCTATTACTGGTCTCGCCATATGGGGCTAACAAACACTGAAGAGCAAAATAACCTTAATTTCTCTAAGTTCACCCTTGCTTCTCTGACAACTCTCCAGTTCATCCATCGTTCTTAAGCTTCTTCAATTTTGCTGCATATGTGCACAAATTTTATACCACTGACGGTTTTGCAATTTTTCAGTACGATATAATGCAAATGTCTGTGAAATTAGGTGGCAGATGATGGCTTCTGTGCAGGAAATCGAAGTCTGGTTAAAAGAGAAAGGCCATTCTCGTTTCAAGTCCAAAACCATGTCTTGAACGGACGAAGCGTTCAAATAAAACTGATGTGTAGTGAAAGTGACATTTCGAACATAAGATTTTCCATTTAACTGGAGAACGCAGTTTACCAAGCCCAGCTTTAAAACTGACAAACATTGTGCACCAATACAGCCCTATCATCACCATTACAACATCATTCTACAACGAAGGAAAACCTGGTACGAGCAGAAGTACCCCTGCAGAGTTCTGCCTGATTTTTACGGTCTCTTTGAAAGACTGAAAAGGTTGATTGATTGTTCCTGTCAGTGAAACATTCCTCAAGTTTAAAATTAAACGCCTTCGATCAGTGCATACCTTCAATGCTGAGACGTGGAAGCCTAAACGTAAAAGGTATTTATAAATAACATATTACGTAACGAAATATATGAAGGTTATGCTGGGAATAAAAGGAATAAAATGCGACCACAGGTAATAAACACGACATCGTGTAGGATGCCATGGCAAGAACTAAGATAAATCGATATGACAAAAGGTTGAACATGTTCGAAGAGGAACGAACAGCTGCGCGAGCAACGAGGTATTAAAATGACTTTCGATGGACAGAGAATAGCAAGAAAGAAGCCAATCGATGGACGGTAAGGTGAAATCAATGAATTTTAAAGGCTCAGGAGAATATGAGTTACAAGCGACAGGACAGGTTTTAAACGAAATCTTAACAGCCGTGTTGTGAATCAAGTGTTGAACTTCGCCATGAAAAACCTACTAGGAAGGCAATGAGAAACAGAAAAAGAAACGCAAAACGACTGTAGTGATTACCTTGCATCCGAGTGACCAGACCGACAGCCACGCCAGCTACCGGACACCGGACTGGGACGCCGGCATCCATCAGTGCCAGCGAACCGCCGCAGACTGAAGCCATCGATGAACTTCCGTTGCTCTCCAACACTTCGGACATGACGCGAATCGTGAACGGGAAGTCGACCGGCACGATCGGGCGTAACGCTTTTTCGGCTAGGGCTCCATGGCCGAGTTCCCTGCGACCTGCAGCTCTGGATGTCGAAATTTCGTTGTTACAGTATGGTGGGAAAACGTAGTGCAGCATGAACCGCTTCTCTTTTGCGAAACCAGTCAAAACTGACACGGCGTCGCTGTGGAACGCCGCATCGATCGAATCAAACGTCACCGTACACAGCACCTGTGTCTGGCCTCTGAAAGTAAGGAAGCATCAGGTATCAGACAGACACATGCCTTGTCGATGTTCAGAGAAATGTATATAATGAGAAAGTAGCTGCACTGTTTACTTGAGAACTTCTGCTGATCACATCACTCTCAGAACAACCTGCACAGAAAACATTTTTTGTACTGAGCACCTTAAAAAAACTTTCATTTAATAAACTAAATGAAATTACACGACAAACCTGGTCTGCTGAATATAAAATAAATCTTTTTTAACAGTTAACGTGATTTCCACAGCGAAAAGCGTAGTTCGAAAAAATTAAACGTGTATTTCGATTCAGCGCATTTACGTGTCCAAGTATTGCTAAAACATGGGTCAAAACTTCACTGACATTCCATAACGTCAGTAAATCATCATCACCATACTTAACTAGTTTGTAGTTACAACACACGGCTTTTTACGAAGAACAACGATACGCTGCAAATGAGCAGTAATGTATTTTAGCATCAGCTGCTTCGAGACGGCTGAGCAAACTCTCATAATACAAAGAAGAAACGCGTTTACTAACGCTACCGCACTGAATATGTTACAACCTGCAAACGGCACGACTGAGTAAAGTTGACTTTAAAAGTTAAAAGGTGAAATAAGACAGTTCAGCAGGGTGCTTTTAAATGAATGTCGAAGTGAGGAAACGTATACGCTGATCAGACGTCCGAGCTGCTGGGAAAACAGTTAGCAAAATAAGGACAACCAGAAGCGAATACTAAGCAAAAACTGCGGTTTTGCCGTCGAACAAGTTTTCTGATCATTCACTTATTAATTCCTAACAGCCATTCCTTTCGGATCGTGAAGGCAGTTGCTTCAATAAATCATTTCAATGGTTTCAGTCCGCCGCCGAACGGAGAAGAATAATGGTCCGGATTCCAAGATGTGTTAATGTTAGCTCTTCTATGCGATCAGCCGATCTGGTCCAAGGTCTGCCTCTGCTAAGAAAGCGTGCTTGGAGAAAATTTCTTGTAGCATTCTTACCGAATGTTCAAACCACCGTCACTGCGACCTCTATAACGACTACCTTTACCTTGAACTGTGGTGTTCCTAACTTTGCCGGATCTCGCCACGACAGCAATCAATCGGGAAAATAAATCATAATCTTGCCGTTTGTATCTGAGATCACGCCCTTTCGTTGGATCCAGCCACACAAACTGAAAACCGCATGTAGCTCTGCGCCAGGTACGCTGCAATCGCATGAAGAAGAACAAGTACGTGGAAGAACAGTCCATTTTGTATGGGTGCATATATGCAAACGGATGGGATATATTGTAATGTTATTCAAGATATTAACGAAAAATTGACTCATATGCCACGAATAAGTTAATACGCAATCCCTAGCGATTTATGTAAGGACCACGTCGCCTGTTGGTCAATGACGGCTAAGCATAATTTAGGCAGATTAAGGAGTGATGCTTTAACAATCACCCTGTTCATCAAAAACAGTGCTGCACAAAGTTCGCACATGCACTGCCGCTGAAAAGGAGTTCAACTAAATGACCTGCTGCTATGGTTACTGCAGTTAAATAAATAACTTTTTATTTGTCAGAAGAGAGAATACAGTAATCAAAAATGCGGAATCGGAAATCAAATAAGAAGCACAGAAATAGATATCTTTTTTAAATATCGTGAATTGTATCATGAATGGTAAAATTTAATAATTTCACGGTGTGACCTCCAATACTATAAGTTAAGTTACGTGAAGACTTTGACAACGGAAAAACAACAAAAACGCTTGAACTATAGCTACTAAAACAATCAATCTAACAATACCACAATGACAAAAGCAAGTGTGGCAAAAAATCTCTTCGACAATGCGCGTGTTCGCTGTCTAATGCTGCGTGGCGTGCTGTAACGGGTATTGGTATTGAAGTTCATCATTCGGTGGCAGTGGTCAGCGAAGATAAAATCAAACAACAGAAACCTGGATGCGAACACCGTAACGTCGATTAGCATTCTTTGCGTTCATAACGTGTCTTCGTCATAACAGAAGACTGAAATGTACAACACGTTGAATGGTGTCCGACTAAACTGGACAATGTGGTCAATCATCTCTACAGTCAGTGTGAGTATTTCTAAGTCCAATCGGAGGCAATATCAGATTAATTGCTATGACTGCAAAACCTTCTACATCGATTAAACAGCCAGACAAATCCGTGAAAGGATAGCAGACCGTCCAACAAGAGAAAAGCATAGAACGAAGAATGACTCAACAAATATCAAGATGACTGCCCATCACCAGTAGAGGAAAGGCCACATAATCGATATCGTTGGATGAAAACCGGTTCAACAAACTTTCATGAACGGATGTTGAAAGAAGCGCTCGAACGGCACTATGATCAGGGGATTGCGCGATCTGAAACTTTTCTCAAATAATCTTATGAGTGTAACGAAATGTTTCAAGAGACCGCAATAACCGTAGGCACCAGCCGATATTCATTCCACAAGTGAAAAACTTCGGCTGCATATCCTATTAAACACCTCAAAGCTGTGCAGAGATAATCCTGGACGCCCTAATGAGATGACAGGAAAGTGCATTTTCCCGGCAGGTTCAATTATTATCAGCGTTTCAGGAATAGAGAACCAGGAAATCACTAAAGTGAGTTCCATGAGGCCGCAAATTCGCTAAGTTTAAGAAGCAGGCCTATCAGCGGGCGGTTTATTATGATGGTTAAAATATGTGAAAATAAGTCACATTACACTACGCGAGTCACGGTACGCGCCATGATGGCGGTGCGGACTTCGGATGACGAGAGACTGCTAAGAATCTCAGATGTAAGGACACACCAAGCAGAAAACGGAGTATGATTTCACTCGTGTTATGGACCAAAAGTCGACAGGTCAGGGACCAATCAGTCATTTAATGTCAGAAAGATCAAGACACATGTGTGTCAAACGTGAAAATGGAGGAGTTAGAGAATATATGGATAGACGGGAGCATAATCGAACTGCGAAAATGAGCAGGGGCGAAAGCTGTTGGAGAAGATAGCTTCATCATCGGCAAAGAATGATACTCAAAAGTCATCTCTTCAGCTGAAATCATCAGATTTCAAAGAGCACCATTTACAACTCATCGAGAGCCACACTCTGAAAATTTATCGGGTTTTTGCTCCAACTAGTATAAGCGATGTGGAGGGGATTCTTTCATGAACTTTAGCACATACTGACTGAAGAAAACCATATACAACACCATTATGGGAGACTTCAATTCGAAAGTCGGGCGAGGGAAAGACAGAAACTTTCGCTGCTAGATATGGCACTCAAATTCACGAGAAACGGTAACTCTGACGAGAGAATGGGAAATTATTATTGGCTACCCCTGGCAGAAGAAAACCGTAGAAGATGGAAGCTTTTTGGACTTGCAGTCAATAGAACCGGGAAACAAAGTCTGGCCAGGTAATTCCCCTTTCATTCTTCCAATGTAGAGCAATGAGCGTTCTTTCTTGAGGCAGGAGACTATACGCGATAACAGTCAAGTACCTGTGGACACAGTCGTTGAAGAAACAAGAATGCACTCCAGGGATGGTTACGCAGAAATTGATTAATATGGTACCTAAAGCACTCTGAAAAAAGAATGCCAACAAACTGTGTAAAAAATGACAGCCCAGTGGCCTACAGATTTTTCATATCTTCTGACTACGAGATTAGTTAACAAAGAAGAGCATCAGCAACATCCAAGTCTGGACAAAAAACAAAAAGCACAAATACACTGAAGGAAAGACAATGAGAGGCAGACGGAAAAGTCTAAAACTCAGGCTATAAGCACAAAACCTAACTCAGTTGTGTGTTAAGAAACGATTTTAACTGCGTTAAAACTGTAAGTAGCAATCAAATGAGTTAAAAAGCAACAATTACCTCTGAAACAGCGCAGACCCATGAAGCGGTTTGAATAAATCAACTTGGCATTCAATCGGCCGTATGGCATCCAACTTGCGGCCGTCGTAACGACAGCCAGTTTCGAACAACAGCTGCCGGTACCTACTTTTGAAAAGAGAGCTAAACAGCTCTTCAACCTCCTGGACCGTAACATCAGGGAAGGTTTTCTGGATGGAAGCTGTCGTTTCCTGGCGAAGAGCGCTGACCCGTTCGTCGAACGCCAATTTGTCTAGAGAGTGGTGGTTGAGCACGGCTAAAAGTTTCTGACTGGCAAACTCGGCCACTCGCTGTGCCACCGTTTCTGAGGGGTGTAGCATGACGTTCATCGGCCGCTTAGGCTTGCCGCATTCGCTTCGCATTTTAGCAATAACATCAATGATCTGCTGAGCAGCCTGCAGTCCATGAGTGATGCATGATGCGAGCACGATCGGCGACACTTCGTTGCCGTTCATCTCCATCATGGTAATATGACCGCCGACAGAGGCGGCCAAAACCAGATTCACTTCACTGTCCTGCATCTGTTTCCTAGTTGGGTTTATTATGCACTCTCCGTCCTTGTAGCCTATCCTTACGGCACCCACCGGCCCGTTCCAGGGAATGTCCGACAAGCAAAGCGCTGCTGAAGCGGCATTGATGCAGAGCACATCCGGGTCATTGACGCCGTCGACAGCAAGCAGATTGCACATAACCTAAAACGGTTTAAACAGAATTGCATCACAAATCACCATCAAAAATCATCCACCACTGCAACAACTAACGTCTGTCGAAAAGAAACATTAAACAACAGTCATACAAATAACAGTGCCTTAAGATCGCACTGATCGTCCACTCAGTTTCTTCGTTTGTTTGTCACGACTGTTGTCAAGACTGGCTTGGACGGCTGAAATCATGTCGCGCATTGATGCCCTCCACGCCACGCGGTAAAACGCCAACTCCGTCAATAACAATGTCGTCTTCCATCATCGTAATTTGTACACTGTTAATTGCGAGATGTTTTCTAGATTGGGTCTGACTGTGTCCATCCAGATTTTGATTTAACGATATTTTCGTTGACACTACCCGAAGTAGGAGACACTATACTGTTTTGGATACCATTTCTTCAGGAAAACGTTGAAGCAATGTCCAAGCCAACGCAGCAACGGCCGCTCTCGGATGACATTGGAGATTTTGGCGACATTCGGCGTAACGGCTACGAACCTCTGAATTCTCTGACTTATGGGAGGAATGAACGCACCTTCAGTAGGGTTTAGAGGGACCAATGGGCGAATGCGTATAACTTCGTGATGTCTTACACGCAAAGCGATCAACATTTCCAAGTATACAGTAAAAGCGATCTCACAGTCGCTTGCAGGATGCACACTTTCGTCCTGATGCCTCCTTAGTGGTATTCGTAACTGCAAAATAATCTTACCCTGTGCCGACTTTAAATCACTGTGCAAACAGTCATCACCTGACAATCTTCCCATTCTGTAAATTAATACATATGTCTAAGACAATGCAAACCTAAGGGGAGCAAGTCCATTTCAAGTTTGAACTGAATCAGAAAAATAAGAAACTGCACAATACTTAATGAAGAAAATTTTCACCTAGAGTTTCATGATTCATCGTTTCGGTGAAACGCAACAGACACCGTTAGAAAAAGAAGCATTTTTTCCGTTCACCGACGCTATTTGTGACTGAAATCCAATAGCATACTCAGGGTAACAAGTAGTAACGAAAGCAAGTGAGATGTAAGATAAAAGTTTTATTTCAGATGGTGCACAAAATCTAATTTGACGCGCTGTAAATGTTATCATTAGAATTTTGGCCATGATCCAGGGCCTTGTATTTATTTAATAGTGCGTCAAAAACGATGCTGCACGGATACAGGTTCAGCTGTGAAAATTAATCAATAACGAAATTTTTAAACTTATCAAAACCTGAAATACTATGAAGATGCGCATGGAAAGCGACTTTGGAACGTGATCAGTTCTGCCGTCACGGCGAATAAAATGAAACATTGGCAAAAATGCAGGCTATACGAATGTACTGAGAAAAAACTACTAGTGTCGATTTCAACATCTGGATGTGGCTCGACAAAATTAAGGCAGTCTAATTGCCAGTAACAATAATTTTTATTTGGCGACGAATAACCGCCAATTCTGCTTTGACCAACGTTTAAACCGTTATTTCTCTGCCTGTCCATCATAAGTCAAGCTGATAAGGTATTGAAATAAATTAACGACACTCCAGTGCGTAAAACGAACACATAAAAAGGAAATAGGATTAAAATCTATTACCGGATATCAATTTCTGATGGTGGTTCGATTTTCAAAATGGGATAATCATGAAATATCGTGGTAATCTGACAGTCCTCCAATATAAAGCTGTCACTTCTCCGGTGGTTTATGTAACAACACCTAAGTTGCACGGTACACCTGCTGCTGGTTCCCTAATGGATCGTTTAGGCAGGTCACGCCTCCATGGTAATTTAGCGTCTGCAATGCATGGACGCAAAACAGCACCGCTTTGTTGGATCAAACAAAACATATCGAGCACCGTCAGATATACTTAAAAAGCAAACATAATAAAAATTAACCCAGGTATTACGGGTTACTATCAAACTGATAGTTTACGATACCGCTGGGAAGAATAATAAATTCTCCTGTCACTGAAACAAAACTATTTGATAATATTATAAACTGACAACGGCAACAAAATTAAAGTTACATCAAAGAGAGAACGAAGAAAGAATGAATGTCGCAGTAGGTCTGTTCTAAATAGGGCCCTGAAACAATACTGAAAAAAACGCTAATCTGTACAAGAACTTACGCCAACAAAAATCGAACTAGACTGTAAATAAAGAGTTGCTGGCAAACAAACAACTGTTTGACACTGGAGAGTAAAACTACGCGATTTGGAGGAAATACACAAGACCGACTGATCATTCTAGGAAGGAAAGGAAGTTTGAAACCGTTGGAATGTCGGTTTTCCTTAAACTTATATCATGGGGCAATTCCAGGACTTTTACTCTCATGAAGTTAATGGTGAAGGCGCAGATATCCACTTCCATATCACGAGCCAGGAGTGTCTCATTTTAAAGGCAAAGTCGACAGGCAGCTATATTCCTAACAGTCTACATTCCTCCGTTTCTTTCTCAGTCATTTATCAACCACAGAAAGAAGAAAGTCAAATGACCCAGACTGCGGCTCAAACCCAGAACTTTCCGGCTCAGAGGCTGACGTTTTACCGACAGACCTGGTAATGACAAAAAACACGAGACTAACAAGTTTAACATCCGGATAAAGGACAGATGAAAATTTTTAGACTAATCGCCCTTGCTGAATAAGTGCTTTGCGACTTCTTTTTGCTGTTCAATGATACTTTTCCACAACATGGATATTATAACTCCTCCAGACATTTAAATGGAATAAGAAAGTGTAGAGGACTGAAAACAGCATAAGAAACGGTTTACTCATGAACAACACAAACATCATGGTCCATTAGACGATTGACCGGTACCGACGTTTTCGGCTCGTGCATCACCGGCTTTCCTCAAGGTAGAGAGGTAAATTGATATCGCAAGTTCTTTTTGTCGTTTGCAACTGACGCAACGTTAAAATAAAGCTAAAGGAGTAGAAGACGTCTGAGGGCGCAACAAAACATAATCGTGAAAAAAACTCCCATGTTGCCGGTAATGATATGCGAAAACTACCAAGTAACACTTCACCATCATCCTTTTGATTTGGCACCATTCCCACATATCAAGAAATTTTCATTTAATCGTTGTTTCGGAATAGAATAGTCCTAACAGAAATGCCTGCCAAATCGATGTAGTTATGATATTTTATTCTGGATTAAGCAATTCCTCATCGATGGAAAACTACAACACCCAACAAAGGGTACAGGAAGATTTCTGGACTATTGCCATTCCATTTCAAAAGTTCCGTCAACGATTATTCGATCATATCCGCTTTTCGTCTAAAATACCCTGATCACATAGTCCAATGCAGTGCATTAAAATCGTCAGAGGATTGGAAGCAGTATCAATCAGCGATTATGTACATAGGCGAACATTTCTCTACCTATGAGTACATCACTAGTAAATCAAAGGGCATTCAGTATGTTTCAGTCAAAAAGAACAGCAAAAGAAACACTCCTCGAATTCGCTTTT